GTTGAAACCCTGAAGTTTAGGGGATCTGGTCAGGTTCGGGTTTTCGGCTCTGTATGGTGGTTGGGGGCTATCCCAGGAAGCCGACGACCTGGTGAGCTGGCGATGGCGCCAGAACTTACGAGCTCTCAGCAGAGACTTTCTCCACCCGCCGCAATATTGTATAGTACCGGACTCCCTACTCAGAACCACTAAGAAAAAAGATCCGGTTTAGGGTTTAGGGTTTAGGGTGGTTTAGGGTTTAGGGTGGTTTAGGGTTTAGGGTTTAGGGTTTAGGGTTTAGGGTTTAGGGTTTAGGGTTTAGGGTTGAGCTCAATTCTTGGTTCTGCGAAGAACCCGCGAGCCGCGATGCCTAACACACACACACACAACATCGGGGCCTTAATGATTAGAACAGGGTTTTGGGGGCTCTTCTAGCATAAATACAAAGGGACCGTAAGGGAATACTATTAGTAATTCCGACCCCCCCACAGAAACACTCTCTCGCAGAAGAAGCTGAACCCATCCTCCGCTCGAACCCTAAACCGTGGACTCTCCTCAACACTACCCTACCCCCCTCACCCCCTCACCCCCTCCCCCTCTCTCCCCCCCCCCCCCCCCCCCACTCAAAAAAAACACCTGAAACCCTCAAGAGAAACACCCCCTAAACCCTAAACCCTAAACCCTAAACCCTAAAACCCTAAACCCTAAACCCTAAACCCTAAACCCTAAACCCTAAAACCCTAAACCCTAAACCCTAAACCCTAAACCGCAGTCAAGCCCCGCCATCTCAGCAGTCCCAGGTGCACTTGCAGGTGAAAACGCCCCATTGCGGCAACTCCTGAGTGTCGTTCTTGGGATAGGCGTCTAGGGTTTAGGGTTTAGGGTTTAGGGGTTTAGGGGTTTAGGGTTTAGGGCTTAGGGTTTCGGGAGGGTGCTTTGGGCAATCGGAGCCCGCCTACACAAATTAAGGGCCCATACATCAGAACCCTTTAAAGGGCGTTAGGGACCATACTGAGGGCCTAAACCCTCAACCCGAAATCCGGTATTTTTCATGAAGACCTCAAGCGCGGTTACGTTCCCGACTACCGGAGGCAAGAAGCAAGGCTTAGGGTTTAGGGTTTAGGGTTTAGGGTTTGGGGCTTGTGGCTTGGGGTTTGGGGTTTGGGGTTTGGGGTTTGGGGTTTTCTGCCTCTCGGAGGTATGGGGCAAGTCTGTCCTGGCATCTTCGTTCGTTGCGTGCCCTAGAAACAGGATCCGACATACTGCAGAAACCCTCGACAGGGGGTATTTGGGCTTTGCAGGGTTTAGCTTACACCCGAAAGCTCCCGGGAAGTCGAAATATTAAACCCTACAAACCCTAAACCCTAAGCCCTAGAAACCCTAAACCCCCTGAACCCGAAACCCTAAACCCTAAACCCTGAACCCTAAACCCTAAACCCTAAACCCTAGCCCTAAACCCTAAACCCTAAACCCTACAAACCCCAACGCCAAGCGGCATGGCGGCCACCGAGGGCGTGTAGCCCGGAGAGCACTGGGTTGTGCAAGAGGTGAACGGCAGGATCTTGTCACCACCCTGCGCCAGGTTTAGGGTTTAGGGTTTAGGGTTTAGGGTTAGGGTTTGGGGTTTGGGGTTTGGGCTGCCACCAGCCGCCTACAAAACAACCTCAAACCCTGACTACTAAACCTGAACCCTGAACCCCATAACCCTAAAACTCTAAACTCAACTCCAAATCACAAATCCGACCCTCAAAGTCCTAAACCCCCTGACTGGCCCTACCCTAACCCCTGTATAAACCCTAAATCCTACACCCCGCATGCCTCTTTGCAGACCCCCGCTTCGGGAGCATTCTGCACGGTAGGGACAGGACAGGGAGCTTCACCTGGGGTAGAGTGAGGAGAGGTTGCGTTTATGTGGGGGGGGGGGGGGTAGGGTTTAGGGTTTAGGGTTTAGGGTTTCGGGTTTCGGGTTTCGGGTTTGCTGTGATAGGGCGTAGATGCTGTGAAGGTTAGGTTTCGGAACAAGCTCGAAAGCTTCGTGAGGCGCGAAGAGCAGCTTTGGCCCGATTGTGGAAAGCCATCTATAACACTTTTCTCCCACTCCACGCCGTCCGAGGCGGCAAAGCCACCCAAACCTATTCCTTTTAGGGTTTAAGCCTAAATTACGGCCTAAACTCAGACAACAGCCCACTTCAGTTTTTTCATGACGTACGTTGGGTGCGAGAGTCAAAGGACTTGGGGTCGGGAGGCGGTTTCAGGGAGGCTTGCAGCAAGGTCTCGAGTGCGGGGTCAGCATCCAAAGTCAGCCAGGCAAGGGAGGGGCCAGAGAGGGACCAGGGACGAGGGGGGCCAGGCGGGTGAGGGGGGCCAGGGCCGGCAGCCAGGTTGCGAGAGGGCGAGCACGCAAAAAACTGACCCCTGGGTCGGCTTGTGCCAGCGAAGTCAAAGGGCTTAAGCGCCGCCCAACGTAGGGGGGGCTTCGGGGTCAGGGGTGTAGGGTTCAGGGTTTGGGGCTATTAGGGTTTCTTTGGTGGGATTTCAGGTTTTGATGTTTGTTGTTTTTTTTGGGGGAGGGGCCTTTCTTAGAGATCCTGAGTTCTAGGACCTCGTTGACACGAACTCTCCCCAAGAAGCCCTTACAATCCATGCCTGCTCAGCTTGTACGTCCTCCTCACTTGGGGGGCGATCCTGCCTAGAGAGCCCGCCCGATACCCCGAAGGAACATACCTTAACTCATAGATAAAGATGCCTTTAGAATTTAAGGTATGTTCCTTCGTACCCCTTTAAGAAGGAAAATGCCTTAACTCATATATAAAGATCCTTTTAGAATTTAAGGTATGTTCCTTAATGAAGGGGTGTTGGGCTCGCTGGGTCTAGGCTTGGTGACAGGTAAGAGAGGGAGTGCCGCAAGGAAAAACCGAGTTCTCTGGGTTTAGGGTTTAGGGTTTAGGGTTTAGGGTTTAGGGCCAGCACCTTTTTCTTGAGTTTACTCGGGTCAGGGTTTAGTATGTGCAGGTTGTTGTGACTGAGGGCCCCGTTTCCATGCAGAGATTGTGGATTCTGCAAATACAAGGCGACTGCAACTTCGAACTGGCTCCCCCACCCAACGGGGTTAGGTTTACGGCTTGGGGTTCGGGTGCGTAGGATGTATAGGGTTTAGGAATCCCCTAAACCCTAAACCCTAAAACCTAAACCCTAAAACCTGAACCCTAAGCCTAACCCCTAAACCCTAAACCCTAAACCCTGAACCCCTGAACCCTAAAACTTAAACCCTGTTTTGTCTCGTGTGGTCTGAGTCTGAGGTGTGGCTTCGTAGTTTGCGTTAAGGCGTTGAGGGCCCTACACCCCTAGCCAATCATCTTTCATCCAAGGCCTCGCACACAGCTTGAAACCCTAAACCCCGAACCCTAAACCCTAAACCCCTAAACCCTAAACCCCAAACCCTAAACCCTAAACCCCAAACCCTTAGATTCCCAAGGCCAGGAGTCAAGTGAAGGTCGCTGGCGACAGCCTGGTTTAGGGTTTCGGGTTTAGGGGGACACTCTAAGGGGCAGTTTCATGGTCCCTTGGTATGGGCCCTTTAAAGGGGACCCCTTATATATACCCCCTTATATGCCTCGTACAACCCAAGGGCCCGATAAGGGCCCATACTAAGGGCCCATGCCTCAACCCCAATTTTCTAGTGGGGGGGGGCCTCAACCAGAAGACACAACATCTGCCCCTGCAGGGACACCGGAACACGTCCAACACTCTCAAAATTTAGTTCGGGCTCGGGGTTGAGAATAGGGGTTTGGTCTCGCCGCAAGAAAGTCCTGGTATCGGCACGTGCCAAACCATAATCGGCATGAATGTTTGCCGCGTGCCCCTCTGCAATCACGCAGACGCCTAAACTGCATGATGCACGTAACCCTAAAACCTAAACCCTAAACCCTAAACCCTTTTTGAACCCAGGCTCTGAGCATCAGCTAAACCCTAAACCCTAAAACCTAAACCCTAAACCCTACCTGTGAGAGCCTGTTGACGCAGGCTGGTGGTTTTGGGGGGTGCAGGGCATGGTCTCCCAGCATCACTCTAAGGTTGGACCCACGTGGCCCTTAGTATAGTCCCTTACCCTTCTTTTACCAGGACGTCCTTTGAAACCCTCTGAAAAATATTCCTGAACATGATCCTCTTAAACCCCAATTAGCGTAAATTAACAAATGTTCCGGGGGGCCTACCTAGGTTTTGAGGCTCTTGGAACTTAGCTTTGGAGTAGACCCTGAAAAAAAAGTATATACTTTTTAGGTAAAAGCTGCTATAATCGGAAACCAGAACCAAAAAAAGTATTAAAGTATAGTACTCCAAGACCCAGGAAAGGACATGTGTCGACTCGGGACAGGGCGAGGAAAACCGAAGTAGTGACAAGGCTGCGTCTCGGCACGTCAGGTTCAACATACCTCCCTGAAACCTCAACGACCCACTAAGAGTTCCCTAAATCCTAAACCCTAAACCCTGTACCCTGAACCCTAAACCCTAAACCCTAAATCCTAAATCCTAAACCCTAAACCCTAAACCCTGAACCCTGAACCCTGAACCCTGAACCCTAAACCTTAAAGCCTGTGACCCAAACACTCAGAGGTCAGAGCTGACTTCCAGCAATCGCACAACCTCGGAGGACCCTGAAACCCTTGGCTGCACTTAGGAGGGTAGCTAAACATTAAACTTTTAGCTGCCTTATTCAGAAACCCAATAAACCCAAAAAAGGTAAGGATCTAAAGTTACGGTCATGGTACTTGCTAGCCAACTATAGTATAGCTGTACTTATGACCCACTTATTAAGCCCCTTCAGTGTAGCACTAGTTATGGTTGTAAGATGTCTTCCATGATAACTTTTGTGCACATACTTTTTGAACTCATGAGCTTTTTGTCTTTGCAGAGGCTATCATACCGGTAAGGCCTGTACAATGAAATCCTGGAACGCGCAGCGTCGCCAATTTGCGCAAGTTCTTCGGTCACCTTCGGTGACAGAAGTTTTTGCGTGCACATTACCTGACCCATTTAGATACATCTACCTCCACTTCTGTGTAGGCATAGCCTTTCCTTTCCAGCCATGCCACCTCCGCTTTTTGTGAATTCCCAAGACCTTCGGAGTCTTGAAGGAAAGCGCGATCTTCTTCTGAAAGCCACTCCAGAAATAAGCGGTTTACCTCTCGCGAGTATTGTGAGGAGGAATCTCCGCGGCATTGCTTTGAGAGATCTCCAATTCCTGCACTGCATGCATCGCAAAATCTTTGTGACGCTAGAAACTGGTCCTTCTTTGCGCGAATCGCGTCCCGCCGCAGATGCTCTTTGCCAGCTGTCGAGAAGTCGTGCACTTTCCCTTTACCCTTCATGGCCTTGAAGAAATATACCTCAAGTTCGGCACCTCTCCGCACAGCTTTCTCAATGTTCCCTGTCCATTCTGTCCACCATCGACAGCCCCAGGGCTTCTTTTCACCATAGAGGGGAAAGCACCAGCAACTGCCTTTCAGCTCTTCGGTGTTGGGAATGGGGTCGTGCTTGCCGAAATGCCGTGAGCCCTCAGGCAAAAAGACAACAGCTGCACTGATTTCGCCCTTGCGGCTACCCTCTACTAGGGCATCCCAGGCCGATGCATAGACCCCGGGCCAAGAGCAAATGCAGGGCCTCGTGCCCTTACGGACGTTGCCATGGAAGACGATGGTGCGTTCTGCGATGTGTTTCATGTCCTGCGCTTCGGACAGCTCGATGCGATTTTGCAAGGAGCAAAAACACCAAAGTCCCGACATGCAAGAGCAGATGCAGCACCCAGGGATTCCGGCAAGCAGCACGGACCACCAATGGCCGGCCCTCACATAGCGAGCAATGCCCACGGCCACAACCCCGATGCAAAGAAACCAGCAGAAGAAGCCAAGATAAAGCGCAAAGTACTTCACAAGTCTTGTGGAGAAGATTGTCACGCCTGTGACCTGAAGTACGTAGGCCATCCCCCCCATAAGAATAAGCAGCAGCACCAAACCCACGTTGAACATCACAGCTACACCGGCCTCTTCGTCTGGCTCTCGCATGATGAACAAGCCAACCGCGACAAACTTGGTTGTGATTGTTAGGGTTTAGGTTTTAGCGGCGGTTACATGTCCCAAACTTATTTGTGGAAAGGCCCGCTATATAAAACCAAGAAGGAAATTAAGAGTTATCCCAAACTACCACCCAGCAGCAAGCAGGAATGCGATGATAAGAACAAAGCTTGAGAAGATGAACCTTGGACTTCTCTTTGAAACAACTTCCAGCTTTTATTGAGACGTTCAGTCATTCAAGAAGAACAGACTTGAACAGATGAACAGTATAGCGAAACCAAGAAACACATTTTGCTTCTGCTGATCTGCCAGATGGCGTTCTATGCGCATCTTCCGATTCCGCAGCTGACGCTGCTCCCGTTCAACCTCCTTTTGCTCCTTGTCGGCAAAGTCGGCCACAGCCTCAGGGAAGGACCCAAAAGAGTCCGACAGCTTCGAGATGCTATCCACCATCTGGCACGCTGCGGAGATCGTGGGGTCGTCGCGAAGACTGACACGGATCAACTTGTCTGCTGTGATTTGGATTTTGCGACTTCGCCCAGGATAAAGGGTTGCCACCTCTTTGCCCGTCTCTACCTGGATTGCTGCAGAGAGGTCATTTTGCAGAAGGGCCATGCCGGCCTGAATGGCAGAATCTGCATCATCACTGCTCCCATCGTGCACCGTTTCATGCACTGCACCGGGTATGCCCATGACTCCAGCTACAGCTGCACTGGTGGCTTTCAAGATGCTGGAGCCATCACACGGCTTCGATGAAATTCGGTGGCGGAGGAGCAAAAAGATCCCCAGACCTTAACCCTGAAGCCCAAACTACTCAAGCTGAGTGGCTTCGAAGTTACGCTCGGAAAAGTTTAACCTTTCCTTGCTTTGGAGTAGACCCTGCAAAACAGAGTATACACTTTCTGGTGCAAGTAGCTCTAGTCGGAACCCAGAACCGAAAGCAGTACTAAAGTATAGTACTCCAAAACCCATTTTTTCAGGATGCGCAACCTACATAACCCTAAACCCTAAACCCTCAACCCTCAACCCTAAACCCTAAACCCTAAACCCTAAACCCTGAACCTACATGGCCACGGCAGCTCCAAAGTTCGTGCAGCCCTGGAAGCTCTGGATTGCCAGATATTGGGGAATCCCGGTCTGGCACGTGCATAACCCTAAGCCCTAAACCCTAAACCCTAAACCCTAAACCCTAAGCCCTAAACCCTAAACCCTAAACCCTCCCTAAGTAGCTTTGAGGGCAGGTGCCCAAATTTGCGCCTCGGCATGCCAGCAGAGTCTAAAGATCATTGAGCATGTCCCTAATAACCCCAAACCTGGTTGCCTTTTTAGAATTTTAGGGTTTAGGGTTTAGGGTGGCTTTTCTGGCATTGCGGAGCTTGAGACCCCCATTCTTTTCCTGAAATGGTTCTCATGTGCATGTTCTGGGTGACGGCGCCTGTACGTGCGTTTTTTGCAGGTTTGGGGATGATTTAGGGTTTAGGGTTTATCTAAACCCTAAACCCTAAACCCTAATATAAACCCTGCTTCATATGCCACCATGAGGCGTTTCGGCGTAGCAGCGCAGGACATCGTCGGATCGGTAGTACCCCTCCTGCCAACACGTGGTCGTTAAACCCAAAGTTAGGGTTTAGGGTTTAGGGTTTAGGGTTTAGGATGTTGGGGACACCGAGGGGTGAGCGAATAGCTTCGCGAAGAAAGGACGGAGGGTGAGTGAGAGGGAGAGAGACACAAAGAGAGAGAGAGAGAGACAGCAAGAGAGGGTTTGAGAGAATAAAGTCAAACAAGCCCAGCGGTGAACTCTGGGTCCATGTGGACCCTTTGCAGAGAATCTACTCGACACTTTGAGCAGACACCCTATACTACCCCCATCCTCTTCAGAAAGTGTGTGTGAGAGGGAGAGAGAGAGTAAAAACCTTTCACGAGGTTGGCCCCTAAAAGGAAAAATCTGAAATATTCGAAGGGCCTACCCAGTCTCGCCCTAAACCCTAAACCGTAAATCCTAAAACCCTGGAACCCTAAACCCTAAACCCTAAACCCTAAACCCTAAAACCCTGGAACCCTAAACCCTAAACCCTAAACCCCAAACCCTAAACCCTAAACCCTAAACCCGGTGTCCTTGCACTGCGTGGTGCACACAAGGCCAGAGTCGATGACTGCGGCACCCGCGCCGGGGCCTTCCTGGCATGACTTCTTATATGAAGTAGGGTTTAGGGTTTAGGGTTTAGGGTTTAGGGTTTAGGGTTTAGGGTTTAGGGTTTAGGGTTTAAGGTTTAGGGTTCTTGTATCCCCAAAAGGACACCAGGTATACACACTCACCAAGATTAAAAAAGGAGCCTTATATAGACTCACCAAAAACAGAAATATAAACCTGATTCATATGACTTGAGACATGTACAGCGCGTATGTATTTAGATATAGAGTATGTATGTATTGAAAAATACACACATACATATGCTCTCTATGTATTTATATGTATATACATATTTATACGTATATATATATATATGCATCTGTTTTGTTTGTTTGCTTCTTTTCTACTACTTGATACAACATAATCAGGCTAAGCTTAGGGGAGCAGTTGAAGGTCGTAGAAGCCCTTGGTTTGCATCCCGGCTCAGCTCTACCCCAAACCCACCCTAAACCCTAAACCCTAAACCCTAAACCCTAAACCCTAAACCCTAAACCCTAAACCCTAAACCCTATTCCCATAAACCCTAAACCCTAAACCCTCAGAAGACGCCAGCGACTACACCCCAAAAACGGGTAACAGGTGGCCAACTGCGACTGCTGGGGTCGACTTGCGACTTCCAGAGCTCAGTTTCTTAGCTTGGGTACTGATAATTCAACTTTACCGGGGGGATCCTGGCCCTCCTAAACCCTAAACCCTAAACCCTAAACCCTAACCTAGGCCAAGAACGCGCTCCTGTTCGAACCTCTGCCATGCGCTCCCACTCCCGATCGCTCTCTCTGACTCTCTCCGTCTCTCCCTCTGTCTCCTGGCCGAAGCCCGAAACCGTGTAAACCGAACCCCCCAACCCCCAATCTTTACCAAGTGAGTTTTGGGCTTAGGGCTTAGGGTTTAGGGTTTAGGGCTTAGGGCTCAGGCTTATAGGGCTTGGGGCTTAGGGTTTGGGGCTCAGCCTGACAGCCGCTCTGGAGCGCGTTCTCCACCGGGAGGACTTTGCATGGGTTGGCGGTGCAGCTGAAGGCCTTCCTGAAGAGCACTCGGTGGTCTCTGGGTTGATGTGGTGTGTAGAGGGCCTTCATAGGGTTAATGGGGAAAGAAAGAAAAGAGAGAGAGAGAGAGAGAGAGTGAGAGTGGGAGTGAGAGTGGGAGTGAGAGCAAGATATACCCGCAAAAAAGTAAAACTCTACATATATATGGAGGATATGCAGGCTATAGGGTTAGAGGGTATATCTCTCCTCTCTCTCACATCTACGGGGCACATATCGGGCTTAGATCGCTAAAGCCAAAGCAGCTCAAAAGGTCGTACGGGGCGGGGGGGTCAAGGCCCCAACAAAGTCTCAACCCTTGGGCGCAAACCGCCCTTGGCACTTCACCCTCTAAACCCTAATCCCTTAGCAGCTGAGTCAGCTCCAGAGCCCAAGTCAACAATTGGGACCCAGGACCCGCCGGGTTTAGGGTTTAGGGTTTAGGGTTTAGGGTTTAGGGTTTAGGGTTTAGGGTTTAGGGTTTAGGGTTTAGGGTTGCACACCCTTGTGAAGATGCACACCCTTGTAAAAGAAGCAATGTATCTAATGGGCCCTGAAAAAGGGACTCCATATATACCCTCTTTGAAAACCAGAACCCTTAAAAGAAGGTCAGGGACAAAATAAGGACCATGTAACTACCCTTAGAAAGGTACGCGAACTCAGGTTGCCCATCCGAACCTTTGGGGGCGTCGGGGTTGGGTTTACAAGCCCTCTTATAGGGTTTAGGGCTTCGGGTTTAGGGTTTAGGCTAAACCCTCAACTACTGACATGCCCAGGGACGGTTCGAACTCACCACCCTCCTTGCACAGCAGCTTCTCGACCGAGGGCGAAAAGCCTCGGGGGGGGGGGGGGGGGGGGGGGGGGAGGGGGGGGGGGGGGGGGGGGGGGGGGGGGGGGGAGGGGGGAGGGGGGGAGGGGGGAGGGGGAGGGGGGGAGGGGGGGGAGGCCCAAAACAATCAAGCCAACCAACATCCTGAAGCCCTTCCCTCCCCTCCAGCCTAGACCCTAAACCCTTTGGACCCCAAACATGACATTTGGATCAAGACGATGTACCCTAACAATCTAACCCCAAACGCTCCCAGGTCTGAGTATTCCCTAAACAATAGAGGAAACAAGGCATATGAGATGCCTCTTTTCTATGACAGGGTTGCGGAGGTCGTCGATTTTGGATTTCACCCCGGTCCATGCTGGTGGATGCCCAGGGTTTAGGGTTTAGGGTTTGCACGCTTCTGAGCTCGTCTGGCTGCAAGCCTCCGAGCTCATTCTTGAGACCTGGCGCCCAGCCGATGCTTCGCCATCTGTTGGGTCACAGCTTTCACCTGGTCCTGGGCCTCCTTGCCCGCAGCGTGCGCGTGAACGCCTTCTTCTCGTCTGAGCCACTGAGGCTGGCGAGACTGTTCACCGCGCCCGCCCTGCTGTGGCCGGCCTTCTGGCGCCTGAGCAGTCTGCGATTCGGCCAATGCGGTCGGGCTTGGAGAAATGAGCGGAAACATGTCAGTGAAGCGGAATCAAAAAACAAAGAAATAAAGGAAACACAAAGAAGAATAAACAAGCCAAACAAAAAACAACAAAACAAAGAACGTGTGAAAAATCCGCTTCACGACTGACCTGAGTATTCCCTAAACCCTAAACCCTATGGGCTCTAGGGCTTTGGCAAAAAAGGTGCAGCACGCTTTAGGCTTTAGGGTCAGGGTTTAGGGTTTAGGGTTTAGGGCTGGGTGAACCACTCATCAGTGCTGTAAGGGGGGGGGGGTTAGGGTTCAGGGTTGAGGGTTTCAAGTGCTTCTAAGCCTCTTAGCAAGCCGTAGAGGGGCATCAACTAAGCCTCTTACAGAGGGGCTGCCCTTTTATCCAACAGCCATCGAGAGAAGAACCCTAGGAATCCCCAAGAGGAATAGGGCTGCGGCCTTTCAAGCACTGGGTCTTGCACTCCTTGCCCGGCCGGGTCATGACCTCGACTCGTGCGGGAGGGCTTAGGGTTGCTTTGGGTTTGCAGGGTTCCAGGGTAGGCCATTTAGGGCTTTCAGGGCTTTTGAGGGATTTTTAGGGTTCCTACTTAGGGCTTTAGGGCTTTTAGGGTTTCAGGCAACTTTAGGTTGTGGAGGGGGGAGATTTGGCTGACTTCGCTCACGCTCGGACATTCCAGGCGAGTCGAACACATCGCCATAAGTAGCCCTGCTTGTTGGGTTGCGAACCTGCTAAGCAGACCAGCCGCGCTACAGGGCAACAATCTAGGGACGACAAACAACAACTCAAACACACTCGCATACCTACTCATTGAGTAGGACAAAAAGCAGTTTAAGTGTTAGGGTTCTACCACTTCACAGCCGGATATCAGGTCATCAGCTTAGCGATGTTGCCTCGGCGCCGACCTAGCTTGACTCATACTGCCGAACCGTCTATGTCGGTTGAAAAAACAGGAACTGCAATAAACAAGTGGGAGATCAATGACGCGCCATGAAGTCATTCCTAGCTTGCACCCCTGTTTAACAACTGCTTCCTAGGCATGAAGAGGAGAAAAACGAGGCTCCTGTGAATGCTGAAAAGAGCAATTCACGCAGGAACTCTGAGTGCATGGAGTGTACTCATTCAAGTTCTATGCTCTTCCACACATGGCCGGGAGAGCTTCGGGGCTTGCCTCAACCACCCTAAACCCTAAACCCTATTCCCTAATCATCCCTAGACCCCGCATCATGCTGGCCTATACATGGACTTGTTACTTGGGGCGTAAAGGTCCAAGTAAGGGTGTTCAAGGCCTGTTCAACCCTTTGTTGAGAACCAGGCTCACGTAGGGTTCAGGGCTTAAGTTTTGAACCCCTCAGAAGCAGACTGAAGGTGTGATACCTTGATGGGTTTTTGGGCGTGAGAGTTCCCATCATCAACCCTGGAGCAAGGGCCTTTTCAAGGGGTTTTTGCAACCGACCATCCCAGTAGTCCTCTAGGCGCGAGCCTGTACCGACTTCTTAATGAAGCCATTTACATGTATAGATGGGAGCTATGCCCACGGAGGGAATGTTCTGGTTCTTAGGGTTCAAACCTTAAACCCTCAACCGCAAACCCCAAACCCCAAACCCCAAAACCCTTGTCGAGGAGCCGTTGGGCAGGTTCCGTCTGCACCCCCCTTGTACACGTCGGGCGCCTCGGCGAAAAGGCAGGTTGGAAAGGTCCAAAGCCTGAATCCTAAACCCGGAACCCTAAGTCTGAACCCTAAATCCTAAACGCCTTAAGCAAGTTCAGAGGGGTCAGGAATAGGCTCTTCTCGAAACTGAAATCCCTAACCCCTTAAGCACATAACCCCTAAACCCCGGACCCTCAACCCCAATGCCCTAAGGTCAAGGTTTAGGGTTTCGAGGGGTCGAGGGTTTAGGGGTTTGCCATGTTTGGGCTCTTTAGGCCGTTAGCTTCTAGTTGCGTCTAGGGTTTATATGTGTAGATTCACGCGGCCCCTGTCATAATATGCTAAGTCATATTTAGATAGATAGAAAGATAGATATGCATACCGGAAATATCTGGAACTGAGCCTAAGTGTCTTAACCCCATGTAAAGACGGTCAGGGTGCGACACTAGACCCAAGACCCAAGAGTAACCTAGGTACGAAAGGGGTGCCCTTTTTGTTTTCAAGGGGACTACAAGAAAACCCTAAACCCTAACAAAAAGAGAACAAGGGCCTACTCTGGGTCCCAGTGACCCGAATCCGAGGAAACCAAAAGGGTTTAGGGTTTAGGGTTTAGGGTTTAGGGTTTAGGGTTTAGGGCCTACTCTGGGTCCCAGTGACCCAAAAGGGGATACGTTTTTTGGCTTTAAAGGGGGCGTATTCAGGGAGCCGAAAAGCTAACAAAGGGGGAATAATGGCCGACTCCGGGTCCGACCCTAAACCCTAAACCCTAAACCATAAACCCTAAATCCTAAACCCACCTAGAACAAGGGTGCTCCTCCCTGCACGCACTGCTCTGGGTGTCCCCACTCGACACTGCTTCTCGCCGAGGCTTTCCGGAGGATTCCTGAGTCAGCGTAGGGTTTGGGGTTTCGGGTTTAGGGTTTCGGGTTTAGGGTTCAAGATTCAGGGTTTAGGGTCAGGGTTCGGGTTTAGGGCTTAGGGCTTACGGCTTAGGGCTTAGGGTTTAGGGTTTAGGGTTTAGGTGCAGGACGAAGAAGAGTCCTTGCAGAAGTCGTTCAGTCCCCACACTATCACTGTCGGGTGCATCCGGGAGAGAGATTGCACCAGGGAGAGAGAGAGAGAGAGAGAGACATCGCTTTCAGCTCTGCCGGGCTTCAGTTTCGGGTTTAGGGTTTGGAGAACACACCCTTCCAGTCAAGCCGGAAAAGCACACACGGCACCGAACTAAGGTGGACGAATTTGCCTATAAGCCCATCAGCAGCATGCAACACATTTTCCTTCTGCGCGCCACGTCTGGCCGTCAAGAACGACTGAACTCAAATGTCCGCTAACTCTCCCAAAGATTCCGTGTACGAGTTTGACTAGGGTGTATACTTCGTGTATACTTGGGCCTTCTAAAGGGGGTTCCTATGTACTAGCTCTAGGGTTTCAGGGCCTTAAGTACATAGACTATATGGGCTCAGGGATCCGTAGGGTTCTTGCCGGACTTATACAAGTCGAAGCAGATCCGAGAAGCAACCTCGCAAAGCGAAACACTTGCCAACTTGAAGCTACCTTCAGCGCGGTGGTACGCGTGTTGTCCCTGCAGGCGTAAACCCTAAACCCTAAACCCTAAACCCTAAACCCTAAACCCTAAAACCCTAAACCCTAAACCCTAAACCCTAAACCCTAAACCCTAAACCCTAAACCCTAAACCCCATGTTCTTCAGGGCCCTGACCGACACTACGCCCTTGGGGTTTCGGGGAGTCTGCACTCTCTCGGATCCACAGTGCGCAGCAGACACGCACCGATTACAAGTCCACTTGTCCGTGATCGCTTCAATGAAAGCTGGGTGCTCATGAACACATCTCCAGCGCCTAAACCCTAAACCCTAAACCCTAAACCCTAGACCCTAAACCCTGAACCCTAAACCCCAAGACCCCAAGGCCTAAAGCCACTCGCCGGGCGAAGTCCCTGGCTAAAGCAGCCGGGTCTTTTACGAGGCCCCCACGGAGTCCCAACAAACTCCCTGACGCGAAGCCTTTTGGGGGTTTAGGGTTTAGGGTTTAGGGTTTAGGGTTTAGGATTTAGGGTTTGAGGGTTTGTAAACCCAGCGAAGGGTACTCAAAGCCCAGAGGAATCCAGTAGTCAGGTATCTGGATGTATTGGGAATCCCAAACCCTAAACCCTAAACCCTAAGCCATAAACCCTAAACCCTAAACCTGGCAGGGTCCTTGAATGCAGCGCATCGGTTTGGGACGGTGGCACAAGCGGTCGGCGGCAGACCCTCCTCTAGGACCCCTCGATATGGCTGAGGGTTTAGGGTTTAGGGTTTAGGGTTTCGGGTATTTCGAGAGAAAAAAGGGGGTTCATATCTCAAACTAGTATAATCCTTAGTATAGGAAACCCCCCAACAGGGTACACACCCTAAACCCTAAAGGCTGAACCCTAAAGCCTATTTTCGGAACACCCCAAAAGTGGAGATACAGGTCCACCCTAGATCGCCGGCCATGACGGGCACAGTGCTTCGGGCTTCTTGGCCAGGAAATGGCAAGAGTGGTTCAGGGTTTGCGGTTTAAGGTTTAGGGCGCGTCCCAAAGAAAAATCGACCAATAGGAGCCCCGAATACAAAACAAACCCCCTTATACCGCCCCCCACACCGCTCCCTGATATTCACACAATTCACCCGCCCAAAACTTCCATCCACCCCGAAATTTCCATCATCACCCTAAAACTAGACTCAAACTAGACTCAAAATTCACCTTGGATGGAAATTCGTGCACTTTTGGGTTCAAAAGGGCGTGGAAGGGAACCCAAAAACCCAAAAAAACAAGGGGACTAAGGGCCCCTACTCTGGCTCCCGAAGCCCGAAAGATGCCCCAAGCCCTAAACCCTAGCCCTAAACCCTAAACCCTAAACCCTAAACCCTAAACCCTAAACCCTAAACCCTAAACCCTAAACCCCCCCCCCCCCTACATGTCACTGCCAAGAAGACCGAAGGATCCTTTTTACAACTTTGGTGCCCTTGGAACGAGATGTCCCGCGATGCGCCTGCAAAGCCTCGAGGCCCAAGGGCAAGACTCCAAGCTTCTGATTCTACACACACACCACACACACACACACAGATATATATATATATATATGCACATAAAGATATGTGTATATATATATATGTATATATGTACAGTTTAATACAGATACATGCATACACAATCTCACACACACGTACGTGCATATATATATATATAAATACATACATACATATATAGAGCGAGATATGCAATAGACCAAGGAAACACGAGCTGGGATAGTATATGGGTTTGTGTTATAATGGGGGGGGGGGGGGCGACAGGTGTTGGGATCAGGGTATGTTTCGGGGGTATGTTTCGGGTATGTTTCGCGGCATCATGAGCAACTTTACCTGCAATTTCGGGGTTGCGCGGTATGTTTCGGGGGTATGTTTCGGTGTATGTTTGGCGGGTGTGCAACCCGTGTGCCCTTCTTAAACCTGGACCCCCCCAAGAAAATACAGACCCATACGGGTGCTCAGAACCCAACGAGTTGAGAAACTGTAGGGCCAGGGGTGAGTCCAGGGTTTAGGGTTCAGGCATCAGGGCAACTAACTATCAGACTGCTACGCTTGCCCAAGAGTGCCCCGCAGAAACAGCGATGAACCTCGGGTTGCTTCGCAACCCCTGGGACGGCAAGTAGGAAGAAAAACTCATAGCAAGCCTGAAAGCTTTCTCATCTACTCTAATTATAAGGAACCTATGTATGCTACTCTAAACCCTAAACCCTAAACCCTTTTTTGAACCCAGGCTCTGAGCATCAGCTGGGACCCTAAACCCTAAACCCTAAACCCTAAACCCTAAACCCTAAACCCTAAACCCTAAACCCTAAACCCTAAACCCTAAACCCTAAACCCTAAACCCTAAACCCTAAACCCTAAACCCTAAACCCTAACCTCCCCCCACGACTCTCTAAGCCCTCAGGCTTGCGGCTCATATGCCCCTTTGGGTAAAGCACGTTGCGCTTCACCTTGGTAGCCCAGTAGCCATGTCGTAAAATGGGCACCCGTTCTGGGCTGCCCTAAACCCTAAACCCTAAACCCTAAACCCTAAAGCCTTGGTTACTTTACTTTCTAAGGGAACCCCAGAACCCACAAAAAAAAAAGCGCGGGGGGGGGGGGGGGGGGGCGGAGGCCACCACTGGTCCAGCAAGTCACAGGGACATCGCCGCGCGCTCGGCACCTTCGGCCTCCGGAGCCTCCGCCTCCTTGACCTCCTTCGCCTAGGATGGCCATGCAAAACCCTGTGAAAGCATACATTCCGTTAGGGTTTAGGGTTTAGGGTTTAGGGTTTAGGGTTTAGGGTTTGGGGTTTGGGGTTTAGGGGTTAGGGGTTAGGGGTTAGGTTTTTTTTAAGGGTTTAGGGCTTAGGGTTCTGAACATGATGAAAATCTAGAACGCTTTGAGGGCCTACCTAGCAGCCTCATCCAGCTCGCGCCACTTCTCGACCATCTTCGCAAGCTGCTTCTTGGCGCGCCAGATCATCAGGGAGACCAGGATTGTGGCAACAATCCAGTACCTGGGACGCTATTTCCCTACAGTTTAGGAGTATCTACCCTTGGCTAGTAGGTACGACCCATAAAACTGTAGGTGAACGGACTCTACTTACCTACAGTTTCGTAGTTACTACCCCTAATTAGTAGGGATAAACCATAAAATCTGTAGGTAAAGAACCTACAGTTTTGTAGTAACTACCTTTAATTAGTAGGTATAACCCATAAAACTGCGGGTAAAGAACCTACAGTGTAGTAAAGTAGTAACTACGCTTAGTTTGTCGGTAGAACCCATCAAACTGCAGGTAAAGTGGGCCCCAGGTACAAGATGTAGGCAAAGATCTCAACGGGCGTGGCCTGGTCCTGCCAGCCGAAGATGGCCCGCATGAGGACGAAGAAGCGGTTGGTCTTGTCGTTGCAGCAGTCGGTGGCATCCCAGACGTTCACGTTCTGCCAGGGCCTCGCGCTGCGCGGGCTCCAGACGCCAAAGACGTCCAGCTCCTTGAGGACGAAATGAACCCTAAAACTGGGGTCATATACCCTATACCACGATAATTCCTATGAAGGTGTATGAACCATAAACCCTCAACCCTAAACCCTATAAACCCTAAACCCTAAACCGTAAACCCTAAACCCTAATCCTGCAGCTGGTGCATGGAAGAGGAGAAGAAGCCGGCCGCGATGCTCATGAGCAGCACGGCCGAGATGCGCATGAACCTGGGGTTTAGGGTTTAGGGTTTAGGGTTTAGGGTGATCAGCTCACAAAAATCACGGTCCCTTAACTCGACCCTGGAGGCATCCAGGAATAGAAAGGGTGCCCTTTTGGGTTTTCAGGGGATTAGAAGGGGACCTCCACCCTTAAGAAAGGAAATCAGGGCCTACTCCGGGGTCCTAGTCAGCTTTTCCAACCATCGAGATCATGGTCCCTTCTTAGGTGTGCCCGTAATATCAGGGGCCCACCCTCATAGTTTAGGGTTTAGGGTTTAGGGTTTAGGGTTTAGGGTTTGGGGTTTAGGGTTTAGGGTTTAGGGTTTAGCAAACGCTCCCGAAGGGGTTTCCATAATGATAGAAAAGTGGCCAGTCCACCTTCAGGCCCTTCGTGCCCTGGAAGAAGATGCAGCCCACGATGCGGGCGAGGATCAGCGCGGTGATGATGGGAAGTGGCAAGGAGCTCAGATCCTTCTCAGACTGGTGTTCGGGTTTAGGGTTTCTGGGTTTCTGGGTTTAGGGTGTAGGGTTTAGGCTTTGGGGTGAGCAAGCACAGGCGTAAAGTAACCCTTTCAAGATCGTGTTTTGGATCTTGGTTTTGTTGTTTTTGGGGTGGTTTTGTTTTGGATTGTGTTATGGATTTTTTGTAGAGATAGCTGTGGATGCTTTGTGTGTTGTGGATTTGGAAGTGTTGGTTTATTAGGCGGGTTGAAAATTGGGATGAAAGTGTAAGGGGGGGGGGGGGGGGGGGGGAGTGTCGAGTGTGAGGTCTGGGGTAAGGGCGGTGCTTCGGATTCTGTTTTGTGCTTTGGGGTTTGGTGTTGGAATTGTATTTGGGATTTCGGTGGGGGATTTGGTGGGGTGCTTCGTTTCGTGGTGTTCTGAAAGGGTTGAGTTTTTTTTCTCTCTGGATAGTTGCCTAAGAATCCCATTGAGGAATAGCCCACAAACAAGTAAGCCTGGGGTTCTTAAGGTAGGGAATATTCCAGACTTTGATTCGGATCCCTATGTGGTTTAAGGTCGTATTCATACTAACTGAAATCGGAGCCCTAGAAGGGTTGACACGTGTATATGTATGTATGCATGTACATACATACATACATACATACATACGTACGTACGTACGTACGTACGTACATACATACATACATACATACATACATACATACATACACACATACACACATACATTTTGAAAATGTTGCCATGTTCTTTCATGACTATTCTACGTACACACACATATGCATATATGTATATATATATATACATACATACAATATTTCATATATACATATGTAGTCCTTAGCTTGATGAATTGAAGTGTACTGGGCACCTAAGCTCAGGTCCTTCACATCGGAGATGACGCCCACCAGGAAGACGATAGACTCAAGGCCTTCGCGGAGGCCGGTCGTGAAGGCCAGGACGAAGAAGGCGTGCCTAGGCGGTCCGGTAGAAATTCGATATAACATGTGAATATAAGGGGTGCCCTTCCGGTTGCTGTTGAATGAGGGTTTTTAGGGATTTGCTGTTGGGTGCAGGGCTGCATCAAACAAATAATCCCTCCCTAAACCCCAGAACCCTAAGCCCCAAAACCTAAACCCTAAACCCCGAACCCTAAACCTCAAACCCTCACCCCCTGCGGCTTCTCGGATCCCAGGTGCTTCCGGCCAAAGCCGACCTCCTCTCCCGTTTCCGCGGCCCGCGAGGCCTCAAGAGTCTCCTCCATCTGCCTGAGGGTTTAGGGTTTAGGGTTTTAGGGTTTGGGGTTTGGGGTTTAGGGTTTAGGGTTTAGGGTTTGGGGTTTGGGGTTTGGGGTTTGGGGTTTGGGGTTTGGGGTTTGGGGTTTGGGGTTTGGGGTTTGGGGTTGGGGGTTGGGGGTTTGGGGTTTGGGGCTTGGGGTTTTAGGGTCTAGGGGTTAGAGGCTTGAGTTGGGATGACTGTTAGTATAGGGGGGAACATCCCAGGTTTTTTATGGGCTTGAGGTTAGGGGGTTGGGGTTTATGGTCCATAGAGTCTGATGGTCCATAGACCTTATATGGGACAACAGTAGTTTTTCAGGTCGAAGGTGTACAGTTCTCCTAAACCCTTAACCCTTAAACCAGGAAAACCCAGCGTAGGAGAAATTTGTTCATTTGGCTTTGCGAGGTGCTTCTTCATCTTTCGCTCGTGCGCCTCCTTCCTTAGTGTTTCGGGTTTGGGGGCTTAGGGTTCGCAGTTTAGGGCTTAGGGAGTTTAGGGCGTAGGGAGTTTAGGGCTTAGGGAGTCTAGGGCCCCTAAACCCTAAACCCTAAACCCTAAACCCTAAACCCTAAACCCTGAACCCAGGATAGGGTTTAGGGCGTCCAGGGTTTAGGGTTTAGAGCTTCGGCTCTCACCCTGGCACATGAGGGCGGGAGACTCGGGATTCAGGGCGTTTTCCTCGCACCCACACTGCAGGGATGCAACAAGGGTTTGGAGTTTAAGGTATTGGGTTTAGGCGGTTTAGGGTTTAGGGTTTAGGGATTAGGGTTCAGGGGTTTAGGGTTTAGGGTTTAGGGTTTAGGGTTTAGGGTTTAGGGTTTAGGATTTAGGGCTTTTTCAGTGTAAGGATACATCCCCTCACTCCAAGGCTCGTGTAGATCATCTTGTAGAAGTTTACGGCAAGGAAGGTCAGCACGATGCAGGTCAGGCTCATCATGCAGAACCTCTAAACCCACTTCGAACCACCAGTAGAAGTACTAAACCCTAAACCCTAAACCCTAAACCCTAAACCCTAAACCCCAAACCCTAAACCCTAAACCCTAAACCCCAAACCCTGGAATCGTTCGGGATGCTGAGTTCTTGTGAAGGCGGGCTTTGTTAAAGACTGTATCAGGTTTGGGGGGCCCTGTTCTAATGTTGATGGCTATATAAGCAGTATACAGGGGATGAAGGGTAACATAAGTAAGAATATGTTACTCAAACCTACCCCTGAAGAAGGATAGCACATGTCCTGCGGTCTAATGTGAGAGACAAACACCCTTGCTTAAGGAGACGACAGGAGCCCTACTTTGGAGTAGACCCTGGAAAACAAGTATATGCCTTTAGGTGTAAGTCCTAAACCCTAAACCCTAGACCCTAAACCCCAAACCCTAAACTCTAAACCCTAGAACGATAACAAGAACCCAGAACCAGAAAAGTAATAAAGTATAGTACTCCAAGACCCAGGAAACTGGAAGATGCGTTCGTTGTCTCCCTCAAACAGCTGATAGGTCAAGGAGGCCAGGGCCAAGAAGCCCACTCCAAAAAGCAGGCAGACAGCGAAACCTTTAGGGTTTAGGGTTTAGGGTTTAGGGTTTAGGGTTTACTTTCAGTTCTCTAGGGGGGATTCTAGTACCCCAAAAGAAGTGCAAAAGTGTACTCACGCATCTACGAAGAGACCCAAGCTGGCGCCCACGTAGACCTCCCGCCGAAACTTGTAGAAGAGCCCCTCCTCAAGGAGCCCGTCCTTCATCATCTTGTTCAAAAACCTTGGGGGGGGTTTAGGGTTTAGGGTTTAGGGTTTGGGGTTTGGGGTTTGGGGTTTAGGGTTTGGGGTTTGGGGTTTGGGGTTTAGGGTTTGGGGTTTGGGGTTTGGGGTTTGGGTTTTGGGGTTTGGGGTTTAGGGGGGGGGGGGGGGGGGGTTTGTGCTCCATGAATTCTAAGGGGATTTAGAACCCGGATACCCTAGTATTTTGTTAGTAGAATCGGGAATGTGTACATATGATCATCCCTAACCCTAAACCCTAAACCCTAAACCCTAAAAACCCTAAACCCTGCTACGATCCAATTTCAGGGTTCATTGTCCCCAGGGAGCTGCATAATGATGGCAAGCACAATGACAACCTCGAGACTCTCCCGGAAGAGCACGACAAAGGCCGGTACCTTAAGGCGGACTGACTGAGAGAGGAGGTTTAGGGTTTAGGGTCTAGGGTCTAGGGCTTAGGGTTTGCTCCCCACTCGGAGGTTGCTCGGAGGTTGGGATCATTCTGCGAACCCTGCCGAAAGCCCCCTGGGGCTCATTCCAGAGTCGCTGTCCAGCAACCCCTTCAAGGCCCAAGCATGTACTCACACGGGTGCATACATCTTGGGGTTTAGGGGTTTAACTCGGGGTTTAGGGGACCCTGAAATTGGGGTTCCTCCCCAAGCTACGGAGAAGTAGATGTTCGCGGCCTCTAACCTCGGCGCGGCGACCGTGACGTTGTCGCGGAGGCCAGTCGCCTCATCGACACAGTCGCACACCTGGATCCACCTCACCGCGGCATTGTTGGGGTACTATTTAAACATGATCATGTTTGTTCCTTATTGGGTTTAAGTATTCATGAAATGTAAAATGCTTCTCAAAAGTTCAACAATGGCCGAGCGCCTCAGCTACTGCATGATACAAAGGTGTTTTGCGTTAAGGATCATAGGTTCATAGCGCTTATACATTAGGGATGTTTAGGGTTGATGGTCTAGTAGGGATGCTAGTCGAAAAGGGTACGGTGCATGATGCGAATTCTTCGAGATCTTTCCGGTCTGCAAGGCACTCCACATGGCCGTAGATCTCCGCACACTGCATGTTCGTGAGGCCCGCGTGGCACGCCTCATCCTCCTCATCGTAGCAACCCCACTGGCAGATCTTGCCCGTCGTGTTTGGCATGGCCTGAGCTAGGCCAAACCTTACATCTCCAATAACCTAGGGCAAAACATGTTAAACTTGATTAGGGTTTAGGGTTTAGGGTCCCTACATAAGGAAGCCCAAAAAGTGTTATGTTCAACTCTTGGCCAAGTAAGAAACACAACCGCAAGAAGAAGCGCGCGGGCGGAGGACGACATGGCGGATGGCGAAACAGTTTGGGAGGACCTCGCAAGGTGCCAAAAAAGCGCGACGCCTGAGCCAAACTGTAAACTCAAGAAATTCCCTTACCATAGAGTGACGTAGAAACAGAAGGACCCGAAACCCTAAACCCTGCGTCCTAAATTTGTTTTCGGACTCCTGCCCCATGTTTCTGTTCCCTTATAGAGGATTTTGGGCTAGGTGGTTGTTGGATCCCCAAATACTCTGATTGCTCTCATGTTTACGGTGGTTTAGGGTTTAGGTCTTCTAAAGTCAACAATAGAAGTAGGCCTTGCAGGGCTTATGGCGGGATGTAGGGTGGGCCTTAGGCTCAGAGTTTTGTGCCACCCGACAGAGCTTGGGTTCCTACTTTGGTTCTGCGCCCTAAACCCTAAACCCTAAACCCTAAGCCCTAAGCCCTAAACCCGAAACCCTAAACCCTACATCCTAAATCCTAAACCCTAAGCCGCCACCAGGTTTCTGGACGCCACAAGCGCTTTTGACTCCGCAGGTCTTGTCCTCGTTCAGGGCGCATTCGGAACCTTGCGGGGGGGGGGGGGGGGGGGGGGGTGGAAAGGGCGAGGGGGGAAGGAGGTTCGGGGGCTTCAAGTAGGCCTGGCTCGCATGGCTGCAGTTTGAGCATCATGATATGCTAAAGAATGAGGATCTTGCCTGCGCTGGGGCCTGTTTGCAACACCACTTGTCCCAAGGATCGAGGGCCAGTGTACTCATTATAAATATATATATATATATATGTATATATAGAGATATATAGATATGTATATATATATATGTGTATATATATATATATATGCATATATATATATATATATATATATATATATATATCCGGCTCAATCTTTCCTGCACTGCCACCCTAAACCCTCTATCTAAACCGTGCTACCGATTTGTCCAGTTCCCTTGGGGCAAAGATCACAAGCAGAAGAACAAGCTTCAAGCCTTGCGGTTTAGGGTTTAGGGTTTGGGGCTATTCTAAAGACGTTAAAATTTAACTGGGTAGTTACACTCCAGAACCCGTCAAAGCAGCCCATGTTCCCCTTCAGGGGATTCCCAAGGCACCTGGCTCGCAACATCTGCGCGACCCCAAACGCAAATCCCTACACAAACCAAAGGGTTTAGGGCTTAGGGTTCAGGGTTTAAGGGCTTAAGGGCTTAAGGGCTTAAGAGCTTGAGGGCTTAAGGGCTTAAGGGCTTAGGGGTTTAAGGGTTTAAGAGTTTAAGAGTTTAAGGGTTTAAGGGTTTAAGGGTTTAAGGGGCTCCGAACCCTAAACGCGAGGAACCTTGCAGCTCCTGCCACAGCTCCAGGGCCCCCAACCTAAACAACCCTATAACCCTAAACCCTAAACCCCAAACCCCCAAACCCCCAAACCCCTAAACCCTAAACCCTAACCCGCCCCCCCCCCTCCCCTCAAAAAATAGCCACCAGGAGACCCAAGCCGTTGTTTTCGTAGTCTGCGTCAGCGACCTGCAGCCGCTTCTTACAACCCCAGAGGAATGGACTTAGGGGGCATTTGCAAACCCTAAACCCTAAACCCTAAACCCCAAATCCCTAATTAAACCCTAAACCCTAAACCCTAAACCCTAAATCCCTAAAACTCCAAAACCCTAAACCCTGAACCGTGGAGGCTTTAGGATTTTCTCAGCTAGGCTTTGAGTTGTTGCAGTGTTCCGATGCAAAGAAAACACTCAAAACATCGGGGTTCGGCCTCTGAAGTTGGGTGCTGTTCAACTCCTACGCCTGGACAGACCCCTGGGAGGATCCACGATTTAGGGTTTAGTGTTTAGGATATAAGATTAGAATAGGGTTTTGGGGGGTTATATGGTATAGTCGTATAGGGACCTTGAGGGAATACTGTTAGCAATTGTTCCGACCCCTATACTAGATCCCCTTAAGGGTTCCTCAAAACGACCCGACAGTTGTAGAGGCAACATAGCGTGCTACTTGGGGGGGTTCTGCTTGTTGGATCCTCCCAGGGTCTGGGATAAGGCGGAGGGCCGCCTGACGCCCCTTTTTCATGATTCAACTCTTGCGACTGGGTTTAGGCGTTTTTGTTGTTGGCCTTGAACCCCCCTCCACAAGCCACCTAAACCCTAAGCCCTAAGCCCTAAGCCCTCAGCCCTAAGCCCGAAGCCCCAAACCCTAAGCCCTAAACCCTAAACCCTAACTAAGGCCCATGAATAAGAAGGTGGCAGGTGGCATAATATCCATTGCAGCCATCCGCTGCCAAGTCCTGCAAGGCTCGAAAGAGGCACTTCGGGTACAAGGTTGAGAAGCTATGGGTTGAGGGTTTAGGGTTTAGGGCTTAGGGCTTAGGGTTTAGGGTTTAGGGTTTAGGGTTTAGGGTTTAGGGTGCAAACACATGGTGTGGCTGGGGGGGGGGGGCTGGAGGGAAACAGAGATCCTAAAGAAGACTTTCACAGCGCAGCACAACCGCGACCTCCAAAACAAGAAGCAGGTGTCATGTGCAGCTCTGTCCACTTCAGCTTCTTAGTTGCTGAGTTCATACGCCCCCAAAAAGGTGTACAGTTTCAGTTCTATAGGAGGTTATCGTATCCCAAAAGGTGTGAAGTGTACTCATTCAGCTACTACGGCTACAACAGAACCCGCCCGAAAACTGCAGAAACCCAACCCCACTGCCCCTGCCAACCCTCGTCAACTCCAACGCCTACAGCGCTACAAACTGGTATGTGCAGCTTTTCACTAACAGTCTTTAGAAGGGACTATAGTAGGGGGTACTAGAATACCGATTAAGGACTGCTAGTACAAGGGGGAGCATCCCAAGCTACAAACTTCAAGAGGGATTTCTGGAACCCCTCTGGGCGCAAAAAAATCCCTATGAGCTCCAAAGCCCGAAAAGTCCTTGTACACGCTACTCGGCAGCTCTTTTGACTTAGCAAGTCCGCAGAGCATCCCCCGAAACCCCGAATATAATCCGCAAAACCCATGGCTAGCCCGACTTACTAGTTGGCACTCCAGGGACTGGGCACTCACTCTGCGCTGGGATACGGGTGATGGGCAAGAGATGAGCTTAAAACAGCAACCCCACACCGCGAGGGAGGGGAACAACCGTCTTAAGGCTAAAGCACCTCCAAAACAAGAAAAACCCTGAGCCCTAAAAACTCTAGCCCCAAAGAAACGGTAATCTACGAAATGTTCTACAAACCCCTCGGGCATGTCTTCAGGTTTATGGCAAAATCTTTCCTTACGTTATCCTTGTAATTAGAGGTTAAGTGGTATGGGCTTGCGGTATGTTGAATTTTCCTCGGCTCAACATCAAGTCCCTAAAAGCCTTCTACACCCTATACTGTACTCCCCCAGCCCCCCCGCCCCCCGCCCCAACAAAAAAAACAAGAAAACAACAGCAAACAACCAAAAAACCTTCGAAACCCCTAAAGCAAACCTGTAGACTCTGTACACACTGCCGTCCTAAACCCCAAACCCAAAACCCTAAACCCTGAACCCTGAACCCTAAACCCTAAACCCTAAACCCCAAACCTAAACCCTAACCCTAAACCCTAAACCCTAAACCCTAAACCCTAAACCCTAAACCCTAAACCCTAAACCCTGAACCCTGAACCCCCCTAAACCCTAAACCCTAAACCCTAAACCCTAAACCCTAAACCCTAAACCCTAAACCCTAACTCTGACCTGCCTTGCAGGCTGGGAGTCCCTTGGAGCCGTCGCCACGCTCCTGTCTCAAACGCTTATTCATGGGGTCACGGGTTCAGGGTTTAGGGTTTAGGTTTTAGGGTTTAGGGTTTGGGGGTTTAGGGTTGGGGGTTCAGGGTTTGGGGGTTTAGGGATTGAGGTTTGGGGTTGCTTAGGGGGTTAGGGTTTAGGGTTTGGGGTTTACAGTTTAGGGTTTAGGGTTTAGGGTTTAGGGTCTAAGGTTTGGGGTTTAGGTTTTAGGGCTTAGGATTGAAGGCCCTAAGGCTGCCACAGTGTTGGGGACTGCTCTTCAAATTTGCTTAAGAACCCCCCTAAAAATAGAAGTACCTAAAAATCTCCCTTACAAGGGTAATATGGGACTTTTTATTTTTTTTGGGGGGGGGTCTTAAGCAAATAGTAGTACTGAAATGGGTTTTCGGAACCCAATAATGATCTAAAGTTACAGGAAAGCACCACAAAGCGAAAATTCCCTAAACCCTTAACCCAATAAACCCAAAAAGGCTAAGGATCTAAAGTTACAGTAAAGCACCACAAAGTGAAACAGGTTTTCGGCAGTGCTACCTGAGGCTACCTGGCTTGCGGCGTTGCGGTGCGTCCTCTGCAAAAACCCCGGTGCAGCGAAGGAGGCAGTCAGCCTTGGCTGCTGAGTTCAGGGTTGAGGTTTAGGGTTTAGGGCCAGGGCTTAGGGTTTAGGGTTTAAAGTTTAGGGTTTAGGGTTTAGGAGGAAACTGTAGGTAAAGAGAGTCCCAGGATTCCTCTACATACCTTGCATGGATTCCCGGAATCCAGCATACACATTTTATTTTGGGGGGGGTTGGTGCCGAATGATGCCCTAGTACGCTTAGGGGAATGTAGCTCCTTACTGGGATTATGACAGGGATACTATAATCCCAATTAAGGACTGCTAGCATAAGGGGAGACATCCAAAAAATGGAGGATTCAAGCGTCCTGGGTAGAGCCAGGTTGCGCCGGACTCACACTTGTCCGGATTGTCTTTGTTCGGCAGGCAGATCTGGCAAGACTCTGAAGCACTGCAAGACTGGGCGCCTCTTTAGCTACTATATTTGCTTAAGAACCTGCAAAAGAAACTATATTGCCCTTATAAGGACGAATTGGCCCCACATGGCTTGGA